ATTATAAATAACAAGGTGAAACTCAGCACCAAAGCATTGATTGGTATGCCTCCTCCTTCTCTAGGCATGTCTGCCTTTGAAGCACAACTTTGTGCAGATGTTAGTGTGAGCATGTTCACACAAACCATTGTACTGGAAATTTTATAATGGAAACACAGCAGATGAAGTTTGTGGCCTGGGAAATAGATATGTATGTTGCTTAGATCACTGTATAAACCAAAAGATAATTCTCTAGTGGTTAATTAATCAATTTACACATGAAGCAAACAATGTCATTGTGTCGCTCTGAATGGGACAAATTACCAGATTTACCAGCTTCATTTGTTTATCTTTGAACAGTCACACATTAGAACAACACAAATCCAAGTTATCATATTTACTGCACAACAAACCTATGATTTTTTAAGGTATATTCAGATCTGTAACATGTGTCAAGAGTTGAAAATTAATATAATTTAACCTGTTAATGAAGTTCAGTGTTGGGTTGTATCGTTCAAAACAATAATTTGTTTTCCTTTTTTAACCAGGTACTTTATTTGTACTGTTAAGGAATTAGAAAAAAATACCAGTTTTATATTACCAATCATCATAAATGACTTTGACCTTTTGATGCTTAAATCTAATCAGACTGAGTACTACCCTAATGGAGTTACTGCTTGTTTGTAAGTAAATATATAATTTCAGTCAGGAGATATCTTGCACACAAGCCCACCTGTGACAGATCGGCACTAACACACAGAGAACAGAAGCCTCCAGCCCCAGTGGGCGGAGCCATAATAAACCCATAGTTTTTGTATTTATGTGTGCCCTTCTTTTTTGAGCATGTCTGTTTTAGGAATAAGCACGAAACATTCCTCTTCTCTCTTGTACGATTAAAGTTCATTCTTGTTTCCAAGTAAACCAAAATAAAGTGTCTTTATTGTACAAACAGCAGGTCTCAACGCGGATCCTGCTTTAGCAGAAGAGCGGATCAGTCAGGAGACCTCTGAGCTGGAGAAAAGACTCAGCCTGTTGTCTCACTGCAGCCTGGCGAGCAGCTCAGGTAAGCCTCCCTTCATCAAGCGACACGTCACCATTTAGCATTTTGTGGTACAGCGTAGTGCATCATGTGGAGGCGGTTAGATCAGATGTTGCCATGAATTATTAATCGGATCATCATCAATCCACCCGGTACAGTTGGACCGGCAGCGCTTGTGTCCTGAAAGTTTAATCAGGTCTCGGTAAGAAAAGTGACAATCTGGGCTAGTTTCTGTCATGGTTATGTGCAAAGTGTTAGTCAGAAATATGAGGCTCTCTGTGGGCGGAGGTCCCATGAATCACTTTTACTGCCTGCCTCAAACTGTCAGAGTTTGGGAAGAATAAGCTGATGGATTTGTTTGCTTTCACTGTGCAGAAACTACGGTAAATGACAACTATTAAACTACATTCTGCCGTAGAGTTTAGGTAAATTGGACCAAAACACAGACGTGTAGGAGACGGGTTCAGGAGCAAAACTGGAGACCAGTGGAGTCACTAGGCCTATTTTAGGGGCTGGATCCCCACTAAAATATTTTAAAGCCCCGCTAAATTATTTTGGTTAAATTTTTTTTATAAAAATCCAATATGATGTGGTCTGAATAAATAACAATTTAATATTTCATTATTAACTTAAATATATGATCATAAATCTGTCAGTTTCCCTTTAATTTATAGTGCAAGGCAGAAATCCTCTTTGGTGCGTCGTTATCCATTCCATGCTAGCAAGTTTACATACAGAGCGAGCTAAGTGCAGCATGAAGGCTCAGCAAACAGACCAGGGGAATGCTCAGTGAAAAGTGGATATACAAAAGTTTTTCAAGAAAGTAAGTATTAATTAGTAAAGTAGTGTCGGTATTCACAGATCTAAAATAGTTTTAATGTTCAGTTTGGGAGTATTTTTGAATTGATGTTAAAATTTATGTTAAAATATTATTTGGCCTTGAATGTGTATTATATACTGTATGTGTGTATATATATATATGTGTATATATA